AGCAACAGCATCCACACCCACTGGCTCCTTACAGAGCACCTACTGTGTGCTAGACTGTGCCCCATAAACTTCTTAAACTTCACTTTCACCACCTCAGTCACCCTGGTCTTCAAATGATTTTATTGCCCTCAATTTACAGATGAAAGTACATTCCACTCTGAGGGAGGGAGGGAGGGGGAAGGGAGAGTCCAGGCCAGAGGACCAGAGAGGCTCAGATAGTGCCGCAGGAATGGGAACGGTAAGGAGTGAATGCAAGCAGGCCTGGGCAGGAGCCTAGGTAGGTTGCTCCCCTTTTAGCCTAGGAACCATTCTGAAAGGAGTCCAGAAATAGTTTGCTTTCCTTAAGGATCAGGCCCCAAGCCTGCGGTGATTCTCCAAGTCTGTAAGGACCAGGACCACCTGGGCTTCTGGTAGACACAGGAACGGCATACCTGGGAACTGGGGCCTGTGTCTGGGTGGTCCTGATGTAGGTGTGTGTCCTGGACATCCATCACTCCCATCACTTCTCTTAGAAGAAGTCCCAGAGCCAGTCAGATTTAAAAGGTGGGGGAATAGACTTCACTCGCTGCATTGCGGCAGAAACATGCCAAATCTGTAGCCATTTTAAAACCTGCTGCAGATGTTAACCCGGAAATGCAATATAGACACGTTTATCTTTTCAATTATTCATGAGCCACTAATGCCTGACTTGCCAGTGTTCTTCTGGGCTGAAGTGGCAATAAACAAATAGGCTCAAAGAAAGGAGAGAGGAGTATTTACTGACTCCTCTTGTTACTGGAAACGGATAGGTCTGCTAGCATCAGGCATGGCTGGACCCAGGAGCTTAGACGATGTCCTCAGAGCCCTCCCATTACCAGCCTCTCCACTCTCATTCCTTGATAGTTTGCCTTTCCTCAGAAGGCTGGCTCTAAGTGATGGAAAAGATGGCTGCAGGCAACACCACACCTGTACTGTGTATTAGTGGTTCTCAACCTTCCTAGTGCTGCAACCCTTTCATACAGTTCCTCATGTTGTGGTGACCCCCCAACCGTAAAATTATTTTTGTTGCTACTTCATCACTGTCATTTTGCTATGTTAGGAATCGGGTGACCCCTGTGAAAGGGTCATTTGACCCCCAAAGGGGTCATGACCCACAGGTTGAGAACCACTGCTGTACATTTAACATTTTTGATCCAAAAGGGAGGGAGACTCTATGTCTCTGTACTCAATATATGAAGTCTCAGAAAACTTCAATTGGCCAGCTGGGGGTCACATGAGGAGGTGGGACAGGGAGAAACAGGGACAGACTTGCCAAGACCATGTACAGTGGTAGGGAAGGGCTTCCCCGCAGAAGGGCCCAGAGTCTTCACCAGAATGGCAGAGTCACAGCCCCCTGCAGGTTGTCCTGTACTCCAGAGCCAGCATAGTGCCGGGCACATAGTAGACGCTCA